TCAAATTGACTACAACTCATAGTGACCCTATGTACAATAACTCTGAACCCTGCTCTTTCCTGAGCCAGTCTCACTGTCTCTGACACACCGACACCCACTACCCCAGTTATTGTATCCATCTCATCTGGGGTCTTCCTCTCCTGTGGTGTTCCTTAACCATTCCAAGCATGATATCCTTCTCCAAAGACTGGTCCCTCCTGGCCACATGCCTAAAGTATGTGAGATAAAGTCTTAAAATCCTTGTCTCTAAGGAGCAACTTGGGGTCACCCTCTCCAAGATAGACCTGTTAATTTTCTTGGTGGTCCATGGCATGTTCAAGATTCTTCTCCAGCACCACAACTCAAAGACATCAATTATTCTGTTGTCCTTGGTCACTGTCCATTCCTCTGATGCATAGCATGTAACTGCAAAGACCATGGCCTGGATCAGGTGCAGCTTAGTCTCTAGACTGATATCCTTGCTCTTCAGTACTCTGGAGAGGTCCCTGATAGCAGATTTTCTTAATGCAATTAGTCTTTTAATTTCCTGACTGCTTCCACCAAGAGTGTTGATTGTAGAATAGAGTAAGCTGAAATTGTTACCAGTCTCAATCTCTTCTCTATCTATCATGATGATGGCGGCTGGCCCAGTGGTGAGAAGCTTTGTTTTCTTGATAAGCAGAAGTCAAAAAGTCTTAATCGATTGCTACCTTGCTATAATATCCCAGAAACTATTATAAAAGTGGCAATGAAACTTTACTAGTGCAGTTAGTAGATCTGACATAAAGCTTCAGGAAAATTGTGACTATAGTGGCAAGAATTTAAATTTCTTGAGGGCAGGTATTATGTCTTAGATTTCTTCTGTATTCCCTATGATACCCAGCAGAAGACTGCACACAGATAATATTAAATAACTTGTGTGGACTTACAGTTGTACAAATGAATGATACATGCCCAGGGTAAGAAAAGTGTGCATGAACCTTAGAACTGAATATAATAAACCAACAATTACCACTTTTTCGAGGGGCAATGCAGGAATTATTATTTATCATGGCAAGAGATGTTAAAAATGCTTTACAAAGAGTGTAGAAAAGAGGCCACATGGAATTTCAAAGGTATTCATACATGAGGGAAAATAAAAATCAAGCCAAACTCACTGTCCCATATCTTTCTGACTAACAGTCTACCCTGTAAGACAGAGTGGACATTCTCCAGAGGGTTTCCAAGCCTATGAATCCTTATAGAAAAATACTGCTTCACCCTTCTCCTGTGAACAGCTGATGGGTTCAAACCATTAATCTCTGGGCTAGCAACTATTTTAACACTGTACCAGAACATATTTTTAAAAGTAATAACAGCTAATTTTTATTAACTGCTCACTAATGGCCAGGTACTTTCCAAGGAAAGGATTTTATTTAACCCTTAAAACAACTCCATGAGTAGTAGGTTTTGAGGTCAGAGAGTGCTATGCCTCCCGCTTCATTTTTGTTTTTCAGAAGTGTGTTGCTTATTCCGGGTCTCTTTCCTCTCCAAATAAATGTGACAATTTTCCTTTCAATCTATTAAAAAATTAATTTGGTATCTGTAGTGAGATTGCATTGAACACATGGAAACAATGCACATGTCCAACCACAAATGAATGGTTTGAGAAATTATGGTACATTCACATCGTGGAATACTATGCAGCACGCAGGAGCAATTATTTTGTAAATCACTACCTAACTTAGGAGGGACTGGAGATCATTATGCTAAGTGAACTAACTCAGTCCTATAAGGACAAATACTGTATAAGACAATTATTGTAGAATGTTTATGAGGATCGAAGGGGGAGAGGATGGCTGCAACGTCTGTATAGGGTCGCACAATTTGATGGAAAGGGGACAAAGGAAATGGGAAACATTCAGTGTGGAAAACAACATATGAACTCTGTAAGTAAACTAGTATAAAATAAAAATTATATTTAAAAAACAACCAAAACACCCAACTCTATGAGGAAAATATCTCTAGGATCTCCATTTTGCAGATGAGGAAATGGAAAGATAGCAAAATTTGCTAACTTGACAAGTTAGTGAGCGAAAGAGCTTTGATTCAAAAGCCAGGAACATCCTGGGTGGCTTACTGAAGGTGAAGATAAAGAACAGTAGAAGGCGATATGAACAACACGTGAGTTCAGTGGGGATGCCTTTGAAGCAGTCTGTAATGAGGTGAAAATGACACTTCATTCTCCTACAATAAGCATGACTCGATTCTGACTTGACGGGACTCAACCATAGTAAGCATGGAGCCCATGAGTGGTATAAACGGCTAATGCACTTGACTGTCAGACTAAAGGTTGGAGATCTGAGTCCGCCCAGAGGACTTGGAAGAAAGGCCTGGCAATCTACTCCTGAAAACCCAACCACTCAAGACCATACGGACGATGGTTGTACTGAGTAGACAGGGTCACCATGAATCAAAATTGACTATTTAACTCTATTTATCTAATTGTAACTAGTTTTGTTTGGGTTTGTGTTTTGAATAAGGGTATTATCACTCCAGGGAGCTCTGGCCCGCCTCTCTGGCAGTTCAAATCCACCACTGGCTCCACGGGAGAAAGATGGGCAGTCTCCTCCCATGTGATTTACAGCCTCCAAAACCACACTGGAGAGTCAGCTGTGAGTCAGTTCTGACTCAGCAGAGTGAGCACGTGTGATCACCACTGAAACTGTATGTACTAATATGTAGAATGTACCTCCTTTGTGACCGAGACAGTGAGAAATAGGAGGAGAGGGAAAGAATAAGAAGATGCATCTAGATGGATAAATAAATCCAAGGCACTGGGAGATTGACAGGGTCTCTTTTGTGCCCCCCGGGGACTTCACTCCCAGTCTTGCCTGTTCTGTTGGTCTCTGTTTGGAAAGACCAAGGCAGAACCAGGAGAGAACGTATGCATTGTGAGCGCACACAGCTGTCACCAGGCCATTCTGCTTGCTGAAAGGTTGCTCCTTGCATGGGAGGAAGGGGTAGGCTTCTCTGAGTGACAGAAGGTATCACAGTTCAGTACTCCTTACAGCAACACTAGGAGAGAGAAATTGGTACTGTGGAGAAGGCTGGCATTTTTTAACCTCGTCTTGACTCCTCCTGTATCCCCAGAGTGGCAGGCAGAGGTCAGAGACAACAGAAAAGAGGGGCAGGTCAAGTACGATCCTGAAAATGGTTTGTGGAGCTAACCTGGTCCAAGTGTCCTGGCTCTTGAAGCAGAGGCAATGCACAAAAGCAAAACATATGGAAGTGATGGAGAGGGAAGGGGCACTAAGTGAGGAGGGGCCTAGTTCAAATAGGAACCAGGTGTAACTTTAAAATAGATGCCTGCTTTGGTCTAACACTCGTGCACTGCACCCATACTTAATGGTAAACCAACATTTTCATATAAAACACATCCCACTGATGCCTCAGACACCTACAGCAGAAGGATGATACTCCTTCCACAAAGAAAAGTGCTTCTGATAATGACAAAACCATAATGACTCCTGAAGAAAGCTGTAGGCTTCTCTGACGCAAAAGCAAATGCATTTACACAAATGAATTTGAGATTGGTAACATCACTGGAAGGGGATGAATCAGTTAAAGACCTTTTTCAAGCTACTATAAGCCCTGTGAGCCTACGGTGATTTACTCAAATAAACAGCACATTTTCAAGGGTAGATAAGAATGGATCTGGCCTGCAATTTTATGAATGAACATTTTTTCTTCAGGTTAAGAAGAATGTGTGTTTCTATCTTGTGGACTTACAGAAGTTATAGTCTCTGAAAAAATGCTGGCAAGGAAAATCAACAGAGCAGATATAGTGCTACTAGTATTATATCAAATAAAGACTTTTTTTGAAAGTTCAGGGGGAAAAAAATCCATAAGACTTTGGTTACTTTTCAGTGTATTGCTACTAGCTTAATTAATTTCTCACTATGACAAATAAAATAAAAAATACTATTTCCCTTTTAGTAGATTTAGCTAAAAGGGGAAATGGGACTATTGTAGTGGTAGATGCACGAGTCTGGTGTGACCCTGGGAGGGAATTTGTTTACTGCTAGCTCAATTTTTGACAAAGAAAAATGGGCTGCCCTTGCCTCTCACACAAAGATTCACTGTTTCCAGAGCCAAGAAAACGATAAAAGGGGATAGGGGTGGGAGGGGGTGAGATTTGTGCATAAATTGAAAAAAAAAATTAAGATATTATACAGCATGATAATTTAGTATGAAAGTTCTATGCACTGATCAAATGTGAGAATGATTAGAATTGAAAGAACAATTTGGTAATATGAATTTAAGTACTGTCATCTTGAAATACGGCCATAAAGTTTTCATTTTTAAGATTTCATGATGAAAATTGCAGCCCTTCTTTCTGAAAAGTCAGCTTTGTCCCGCGGTTGTACATGGTTCCAAAGTTTCCCAAAGAAGAGAGGCAAAGTATTCTGAAGTTGAGCTGCCTCAGCTCCTTCCACACAGAGCTGCCATCTGGGCTTGTTTATTTGTATTTCCAACTTTCTGGAACAGGGAGTTTCTCAGAGGCAGGGCACCACTAAGCTAAGGGAATACTGTCTAAAGAAGACTACCTTTTTCTCCCTTCTTAACTCTATTTTAAAATTTAAAACAAAATCAGCAAATGATTAACATACTCACAAAAATTAGCAAGAAGCCTATCTTCTACAAGACACAAGTACAAACTGTCATTCAGGCTATGATTATTTAACCTAGAAATAGAATATTTTTCATGGACCCTTCTCCAAGTACTGATTTGAAAAACGAAGAAAATATTTTTCTAGCAGCTTTTCCTAATTGTTTAGTGGCTTTCTGTTCTAAAAAACAAAGCAAATAAAACATCTTCCAAGATATAATTTAGAAACAAAGGCATGTTGTTGGCTTAATTACACAATCTCACTATGAAGAACAGCCTTAAAATTCATAAACCAACAATTAAAAAAAATACTAGTTCTCTCTCATCTTTGAACCATTTCCTTTGACAAACAAATAAAAGCAAAAAGTACCTTGTAACGTGAAATCCAGCAATACATATTCGTAAGCAAATTCTGTCTTTGTTTCCACTTGCGGTCTCTTCAGGGTAGAAAATATTTTTCCAGGGCTGCTATCATCAGGGTCTTCCAGCTTTCTAAGTCCGCACCCCATGGCAAAATCTGTAAGGAATTAAATTGCAGGAAAGGGGGTGGGGGGAAAGAGCAGCAAATTCTGTTGTTTAAGCTGCAAAAAGAAAGTTACAGACTTCACTGCTTTAATTTTGTTTTCAGCCAAAACAGAAATGTCCCCAAAAGAAAACTTTTTAATCCAAAAAAAAGGAGCCGAAGACTTTTCCTATCCATTCTTCTGTAAAGTCGTTGAACCCATAGTTAAGCTCCGGCTCTGGGAGACTGGGCTTGATTTCGAGAAACATGCAAGCTGCTCCAATTTAGCGGAGAATTTCCATGCCACGTCAATTTACAGCCAGCCCCCTACTAGAGTTCTGCCGCTGCGGGCACCAACAGGGCTTTGTCTATCCCAGTTGGCTGGGTGAGAAAGAAGTGTCCAAAAACGGAAAGAAAAAGGCAAAGTACAACTTGGATGTAATTATCCACAAGTCGCTATATTCACACACAGTGACATGCTCTTTTTTCTGGTTTGGGGTTTGGTGGTGTTTTTTTTCTTCTTCTTTTCTTTCTCCTCCCTCTTTCCTATACCCACACTCCTTTTGCCCTTACTAGTACCAAGAAAGCAAAAGAAATATACACACTACACCCCCTCCCCCAGAAATACACCCCCCTCCACACACACACACACACACACACACACACACACTGGAGGGGGTGCGCTGGGGGACTTGGCTGATAGGAAAGGAAGAGGGAGAAATCTAGTCAGAAGGAATGAAAACAACGATTCTCAATATCGTTGGAAACAAAAATAATTCTAGAAAGGAAGTCAGCTCTAAGGGGAAACTATTTTTGGAATCATAAAATAATAGTAAAAAAAATAGGAAAAAAGGTCACTGTAGTCTTAAGGTAGCACTTTTAAAATTCCTTTAAGATTTTTCTTTGCTGGAAAAATCATCTGCTGCTTGAAACAGTCAAGTAGAAAAAAATTTAAATGAAAACATTTTAATAACCGAATTAAATTGCAAAAGAGAAACATTAGAGGGATAATTTGTTTTGTCAACATCCTTAAAATAGTGTGAACATCCTGGAGGGTCAGCTGTGAGTCTGTTCCAACTCTAAGGCAATGAGAATGACAGAAACTAATACAACACTTAAAATTAGGGCCAAATACAGGTTCCCAAGTATCCTTAATGAAAATAGCTGACAACTTGATTTATTGAACTGTTTGCATTGCCATTTACCTGAGACCAAGAACAATATATAATGAGTGTTTTTGTCTTTCACAAATAACAAGTATGGTGCATTTGTCAAACCTTGGAGCCCTGGAGTCAGACAGCCTGGGTTCAAATCCTGCTTCTACTGTCCACTAGAGTCACAACCCTAGGCAACTTAGTTGATTGCAAATTTCCATTTTCTCCCACGTGAAAAGGAGCAAATAGCAGATAGTACTTTATGTGCTTGCTATGAAAATTGAGTAAGATAATCTTTGCAGGGCATTTAGAAGACACTCTTTTACTACCTTCAAGTATATTCTGACCCGTATTAACCCTCCATTGGGTTTTGGAGGCTGTGAATCATAATGAAAGGAGACTAACCATCTTTCTAACCTGCAGCTGCTGGTGGATTTGAACTAAGGAGATGCTGGGCCTTTGGGTTAGCAGTGCAACTGCCTATGGACTCTGCCATCGGAGCTCCTTCACTGAACACTATGCCTGGCCAAGAGCACAAGATGGGTTTGTTTATGTGGTACAATGAATTAAGTAATATGGCCCTTCCATCCATAGTTTCCCATTTTGTGACTCCAGCTTCTTTGCCAGTGCTTTATTTTAGGATGAGTTATTTATTTTATCAATAAGCCAGGATTGGAGTAGTGTACAAGTCCCTTCCCCCCTTTAGTTCTCTTGGAGGTGTGGTTTATAACCCTGAAATTCTATATAAAGGAATTATTGTGGAAAGTTCAACACAATTTTGTGCTTGGGATACTGCATCTAACCCGATTTGGCTGTCCCGACAGCTGGCAGCCAACAGTCTCTAACCAACAACCTCAGCCTGCAGCTTCTTGGCACTTGTTTACCAGTCTCTGTTACCATGCACCTGGGCTTACACCATTCACAATCTCGTGAATCTTTTCTCTGATGATTTTCTTTACACTTTTGGGAGGCATTCCGGTGAATCACAGAACTCAAAGACATAGACAGGAGGGAGAAGGCTAATCATTAGAAGGGGAATCATTAAAGTCAGAGATGATGGGATGGTAAGGCAGTTTGGGCATTTGCAACACTGCGAACCTCTGCCTCACAGATACTAGTCTTGTATGAATTATTGTAAAAGAAATGATTTGTTCCATTAATATGCACAGATTACAAACCAGGTAGCTCTGATGGTGTAGTCTGTAAGTAGCTGTGCTGCTAACCCAGAAGCTGCATGTCTCAGTGGTTCGAGTCCATCAGCAGCTCCATGGGAGAAACGTGACCATTGTCCTCCCACGGGAGGGGTGTAGCCTTGGACACGTACTGGACAGCACTGACCGGGTTGATTCCAACTTGACGGGTGAGGCTCAAGTTTTTTCCCTAAACTATTTATGTCTTAAGAGTGTCTTTTTAAATTTTCTTTAATTTTATACTGGTTTATTTACAAAATTTGCATACATTGTTTTTCACATCAGATTTTTCCCATTTCCTTTTACACCCCCCCATTAAATTGTGTGACCCAATGATTAAACAGCCCGTCCCTGCCCCTGCTCCACCCTCCCCTCCCCTCAGCTCCCCTCTCCTTCTTTGGATCTTCATACTGGTTCTACAATAATGATTTTATACAATATTTGTCCTTATGGGACTGAGTTAGTTCTCTTAGCATAAAGTTCTTCAGTCCCTCCCAAGTTAGGTAATAATTTACAAAATCATTGCTCTTGTGTGCTGCGTAGTATTCCTTTGTGTGAATGTACCATAATTTCTCAATCCATTCATTTGTGGTTGGACATTTGGGTTGTGTCCATGTTCTTGGGATGGTGCATAATGCTTCTATGATATTGGTGTACAAGTCTCTGTTTGTTACTCAGTTCTCATTCTCTCAAGGTATATTCCAAGCAGTAGAATAGCTGGGTCATGTGGAGTTTCTATGGCCGGCCTTTTGAGGAAGTTCCAAACTGCCTTCCAGAGTGGCTGTACCATTTTACAATCCCACTAACAATGTATAAGAGTTCCTATCTCACCACATCCTCCAACACTTGCTTGCTGTCTTGTTAAGCTTTGCCACTGCCACTGGAGTGAGATGGTATCTCATTGTGGTTTTGATTTGCATCTCTCTTATTGCCAGTGATTTTGAGCATTTCTTCATTTGTTGGCCATTCGAATATCTTCCCTGTGAAAATTCTTTCCATGTCTTTTGCCCTTTTTGTAATTGTATTATCAGTCTTTTTCTTGTGGAGACCCTGTAAACTTTTGTTTTTTCTTTTTCCCCTCTTCTTTTTTTTTGTTTTATTTAAATTTATTATTAATTTCAGAGACTTTGGATTTCCTTTCATTCATTGTTACACTTTTCTCCCCTCCCAACCCTCCTCTCTAGTACACTACCCTCTTGGAAAAGTAAAAGAAAAATTCTTTCATTGTTTTACAATCCCTCCCCTAGGTCCACTCCACTATACAGCCTTTGCTCTGGACTCCTGTCATGACAAAAATACCTAATCACATATCCCTCTTAAACAGTTTTCTTCCTCATCTGTTTCAATGCAGTATACATTATTGAACCCATCTTTCTCAGTCTCTCAACACAAGGACAGTCCTGTTTTACAACAGTGGCACCATGCAGTATTTGTCCTTTTGTGACTGAGATACTTCACTCAGCATAATGTCCTTCAGGGACACCCATTTTGAATAATATTGCATGAATTCCTTGTTTTTCAATGCAGCATAGTATTCCATTGTGTAAATATACCACAGTTTCTCTATCCATTCATTTGTTGATGGGCACTTAGGTTGTTTCCAACTCCTTGCTATTGTGAACAAAGCCACAATAAACATGGGTGTGCATATATCTGCTTGGATGTCAGTTATGGTCTCTCTGGGGTATAATGCCAGTAGTGGAATTGCTGGGTCAAATGGTATCTCTATTTGCAACTTTTTGAGAAAGTGCCATACCGCCTTCCACAGTGGTTGCACCATTTTACATTCCCACCAACAGTGCATAAGTGTTCCAGTTTCTCCACAACCTCGCCAGCATTTGTTGCTTGCTGTTCTGTTAAATTTTGTTATTCTGACTGGGGTGAGATGATATCTCATAGTTGTTTTAATCTGCATCTCTCATAGAGCTAGCATTTTGAACATTTCTTCATGTGCTTGTTAGCCATCTGAATGTCTTATTCAGTGAAGTGTCTGTTCATATCCTGTGCCCATTTTCCTATTGCATTATTTACCTTTATCTTGTTGTGGTGCTCAAGTATTTTTAGAATTCTGGATATAAGTCCCTTATCTGATATGTCATTACCAAATACTTTTCCTCAGTCTGTGGCTTCCCTTTTTACCCTGCTGGAGAAGTTTTTGAATGTGCGTAGGGATTTGATTCTTAGAAGATCCTATTCATCTATTTTATCTTCTCCTGGTTATAGGTTTTTCAGGATACTTGTAAGACTGTTTATGTTGTGGATTAGGACTTCTAGTTCTTTTTCCTAGCTTTTCTTTAATGAAGTTTAGAGTCCTTGGTTTTAGTCCTAGGTCCATGATCCACCTTGAGTTGGTTTTTTTATAAGGGATGAGATGTGGATCTTGCTTCAGTCTTTTACAGGTAGTTTTCCAATTTTGCCAACACCATTTGTTAAAAAGTCTGTCATTTTGCCACTTAACTGATTTCATCTCCTTGTTGAAAATCAGTTGACCATAGATAGATGGGCTGATCTCTGGGTTCTCAATTCTATTCCATTGGTCCATGTGTCTGTCATTGTACCAGTACCAAGCTGTCTTAACCATCACGATAGTGTAGTAGGATTTGAAATCAGAGAGTGAGTTACCTCCTACCATATTCTATTTTTAAGGAGTGGTTTGCTTATTT